CAGGGATTGCTAGACCGCCCCCCTGTGCCAGGGAGGGTGTCTGGCCAGCCCGAAAAGTTCTAAATTCGTTGGGGGGGGGTGGGGGAGGGGCCGGGGGCGGGCCTTTTCCGGTTTCCCCAGCCGTATGTGAGTAGATGTATGCTTATGATACGTATGTATCTATACACACACACGTGTATGTGTATCATATGTATATATATAGATATAGATATCGGATGTTTGTGTCCCCCTCTCTCTCTCTCGTTTTCTGCATTTCGTCTCTTTTTCTCTTGTGTTCTTATCTTTTTTCTTTTTTTTTTCTCTCTCTCTCTCTCTCTTTTTTCTCTCTCTCTCTCTCTCTCTCCCTCTCTCTCTTACCCCCTCTGACTCCCTCTCTCTCGGCCTCTTTCCCCTCTACCATCTAGCTGCCTGCTCTCACCCTATTGCCCTAGTTGCCAATGAGTTGGTGGCTGTGTATTGTGCAGAGGTTGTCGCAGCGGCGATGGCCCAGAATCAGCAGGCCATGCAGTACGCGTTGGCCTTAGCGCTGGCCAGATTGGAATTCTGTCGGCAATGGTATTGGATCGCGAGTAGAGCGCGATATACTCGCGCAGTGTCGACGCGAACCTCGGCGCAGGCGTTCAAGGTTGAACGATCGGCACTATCGGAGTGCCGCGATCGTTCAAGATTGAACGATCCACGCGGTGTCAGAAACCAAAGCAAGAGTCGTCACGGCAGGAGCCCGCCGTACGGAAAGATTTGGCGACAGTTTTCAGGTTCGATGATCCAGAGCCGTGGTTGGGCAGCACCTCCACACGTGTTGCGTGCGGGGCCGTTTTTGAACGGCGTGCGCCAAGACGGCGAACATCATCGACCTGTGCAGTCTTCATTCATAGATGTCATGCGATGCGGGCGCAGTCTGGGGATCGATATCTACCGCATATGCTTTCCCAGAGGGTCGCCATGACAAGTGTCTGACCTTTGGCTGACAGCTGGTCGGGTACTGTCCACCTGTGCGCGGGAAACGCAGGGTTTTGGACCTGGCGGCATCCTGGGTGCTCGATTCGGCTGCGCCGCGATCGGTTGCGTTCGGTCGGCTCGGCATCGGTTGATTGTTGCACCGCTGCCGCGCCGCTGCGCCGTCCTCGTGTGCCTGCGGCCTGGCGGTCTCGGTCGGTTTCAAGTTGTGCTGTCGCCGTGGACGGCCTCGGTACTGCCCTGTGGACTCGCGTTTGGATTCGATAAGTGTTCAATCATGGAACACTTGTTGAACGCAGCCATCCAGCTTTCGTGCAGCAGGCCGCCAGAAACCTGACAAGACAGCCAGGAACAACCGAAGACCACCGAATGCCGCCGAAGACCGTCGGAAGGCCGCCAGAGACTGCCGAAGACAGTCAGTCAGAGGACCGCCCGAACACCGCCCAGGACCGATGGGTAACAAGGGGCCCGTGGAAGTATCCAGTGGGCTGCGATCGTCGTCGCGTGTGGCAGTCGCAGCCGCGGCGGTGGCCAGTCTGCAGCGTCCATTTCGATCGGACATGTCCAATTCGATATCTATTATGGCTGGTTCGATCCGAGTTGGTTCCGATGTTTCAACGATCCGCTGCTGCCCGATGCTTGCACGGCGCGGTTGTGCATCCTGGCGCAGCCGACCCGATTCGATTTCGTCTTCGTGCCGGTGCAGCCCAATCCGATGCACATTTCGACTCGATCCGGTGTCCCGATTCGATGCTGACCGATCCTGGTCTGCGACGGGCCGAGGCCACGCCCGAGCTCCGGGCGGAGCTCCGCGCGGCCGCCCTGCTGAACGGGCGGCCGGCGCCCAACGGGCGGCCGGTGTCGAGCGAGCGCCCTGCGCGGTGACCAGAACAGGAGCGACGGGCTCGCTGGCCGCAGGTTCACCCGTGCGGTCAGCATCCACTGCAAGGATGAGCGGCTTTCTTAGGTTGCCCTTGCCGGCCCGTTCTTGGCTTCGCTGGGTACCCTTGTATCCTGTGGTTTTCGGCCGCGCCCCGGTCGAAGAAGTGTCAACATGGCCTTCCAAGGCTCTTACATGCTTATCGTGCGTTCTTACTATCAATTTTGACTGTAGATATAGGCGTTGCAATGTTCCGATACACTTTCGGAGGTCCGCGCGGACCTTCTAAGCTTATGCTGATTATGTTGTGGTTTATAGTTTTGGGGCGCTCTGGGATTTGTTGGCTGAGTTGGAAAGTCGATCCGGCTTGGAGACTGCAGCAGGCATGTGGGTGTATTTTTTCGCAGCGTCGGATCTCATGGCATGTCGGAGGCGACGATGAGGCGAGTCTCGCAGGGGGGAGCAACACACCACGTACCCAAGGGGTGCCGATGGTTCGTGCCTTCGGCGAGGCTCCCAGGCGAATGCGTGTAACGCCTGCCCTTTGGGATATTCGCTCCTATCGTCGCCTCCGACCAAGGGTCCTCAGGTGGCTTATTGAGGTAGGGGGAGTGGCGGTTCGGGCAGGGAGGTGGGCGGGAAGGTCTCGTGCCTGGGAGGTCGGAGGCTGGAGTGCCCTAAGATCACCCTGAGCCATCTGCCTCGCACTGGGTCCAGCGAGGCGTTGTCGGGCTGAGAGGGAGGCTCCGTGATTCGGGGCGAGGCAGCCAGGCAGTCGGAGATTGGTGTGAGTGGGCTAAGAATGCTGAGGGCAGGAGGCTCGCCCTGCGGACAATGCAGCTGTCACCACTTTCACGCGTCCCTCGGCGGCCCAGAAGGGTTACGTGGCCTCACGCGGGTCCAACGGGAAGCTCTCCCCCTCTGGGCGCTGCAAAGAGCAAAGCTTCTTCCACTTTCCTGCCCCCCTGGGGGCTCCAGCGGAATGATATCTTGCGTAGACTCAAGTGAGTCGCCTCCCTTCGGATTCTGCCGAGCGTTCGGCTGGCACCACTTTGCAGCGCCGTTGGGGTGTTCAGCGGAGTGACGTCCTACGGACCCATGGGAGGTTCAGGTGTCTGTGTAGAGCATCCTCGGGGCTGCCGCTCAAGGCGCTCATTGCAGTGTCCGTGTACATGTTGGGCTCAACCAGCCATCATTGCGCTTGGATGCTGCACACGCTCCTTTTGGCACTGCCCGTGCTGTGAACCTTATCTTCATCAAACCCACGACCATGTATTCCAAGTTGGCATCTGTGCTGGCCTGCCTTGCGTTCGCGCGGGCCCTCGACACCAAGAAGCGGGGTTCTTGCGAATGCCTGCAGTGGGCAGGTGTGTATTACGACCAGCTGGCCGCCTGCGGCCGAGGCAAGGAGCTTCACTTCCTCTCCAAGTACGGCTTCAGCGCCGCGTACGCCGCCACCGAGCCCATCGCCGGCCTGCCGCACAAGGTGTGCAACGACTATTTCAAAAACCTGAAGAACAACTCCTGCGTCAACGTTGACCTGTTGGCGACGAGCACAGCTGATGATAACCTCCACCCGGCGAACAATTTCCCAGCCGACCCTCTGGCCGCTTCCCAGTGGTGCTATGTGTCGAACGATTGCGACACCCTGAACGGTGGCGATTACGCCACCAACATCATGGGATTCCAGCTGGGCGGGTGGAACAACCTCGCCAGCACGAGCAACCTGTCCTGGAAGATCTGCGATCCAGTCGCGGACGCGGGCGTCATGATGAAGTTCAAGACGGTTGCGGAGCTGAACGCGATCGCCGAGGAGAGCGACATCAGCATTTCTCGCACGCTGCGGTTGGCCTACCCCGTCGTGCAGATCACTTGGGCCGAGGCCATGTACATGATGGAGGGCATCAACGCTGCTTGGGACGGCGTCGCCACCTTGACCGATCTGGTCGACGGGCTGACGGCTCCGCCCAGCTCCCCCACCAGGCTCATGGAGGTGCACACGCAGCTCGGCGACATCGTCAAGTCCGGGCAGGGCTACATCCTCGACACCCCGGGGCACGGGGACAACTTCCACGTGATCAGGGGCCGCGAGGTTTACACCGTGACAAGGATCGCGCTGGGCGACATGGCGTACCTCGGCGGCCACTTCTACCTGGAGTTCGAGCTGAACTGCCTCATGGGCTGTCGGAGGGCGCCAACTGTATACCTGCACCGATCCTGGCCTGGCGGATCCTGAGCTCAGGATCGGTGCGTATGCCTCCCTGGCCCGACCAGGAGGTCGCATGCACCGACCGACCCGCCCAGGACGGGCCTGGCCAGGGATCGGCGCATGGGATACAGCTGGCGTCCCCCCTCAGGCTGCGTCACGTCCCGCGTGGAGGCCCTCGACCTGGAGTCGCAGTGAGCGGGCGCCGCGGCGACGAGGGCGGCCTGTCGGCTCGGAGCCTCGGGGCAGCCTGCTGGCTGTTTCTTCGTTTCCTCCGCCTCCCGGCCTCGCGAGCGGCGACCATATTCGCAGCCGTGCCCTCGCGATCTGTGCACCGAGGCAGCGATCCCACGGGTGCGCGGCGCCGTAGACGTGCGCTTCGCGCGGGGCGTGCGCGCAGAGCCGCCCCGTATCCGTGGGCTGTCGTGGCTGGAGAGCCCGGACCCGAAGGCCGTGCACACGGGTATGTTTCCCGCCCACGATCCCCCTCCCAGTCTTCTCCCTCGGCAGCTCCTCTTCGTTTCTCCTTTCCCGTGTCGGCCTTGAGACTGAGGGTGGCCAGTCCCTTCCCCCTCGTCGTTCGTCGTTCCCAGGCCTCCGTCCCCCATCCACGCTTCCCTTCCCTCCGCCTCATCTCCCGTCCTCCCGCTCCTACTCCTTCTCCCTCACCAATTCCATTACACTTCCACCTTCTTTCCTGCTCCTCGTTTTTTCCTGTACATCGCCGTCGTAAACATGTTGTCACAGCAAGCCTCCCAAGAGCGAACGGTGACGTAGTAAGCTCTGAACACCAAGGCTCCCAGGAGTGAACGGTGCCAGGAGCCCTCCCGCGCAGGCAGCGCATGGGCCACAAGTAAGGGGAACGGACTTGGGCAGTGGTGAACCATTGTGCACGTGCAAATCATCATCTAAGCACGATGATATGGTCCAACGGGTCAAGAGCGCGTGAGACCTTAGGGCACCATCCTGCATGTCAGACCTGGGCCAGAACGTGAACTGAAAGAGCTTTCATGCGTGTTTGGCTGAAGCTGTCCACATTGCCTCTGGATACTACACATCTCGGTTTAGCACTGCGCGTGCTGTCGACTTTTATTTGAGTCGAACCCACGACCATGTATTCCAAGTTGGCATCTGTGCTGGCCTGCCTTGCGTTCGCGCGGGCCCTCGACACCAAGAAGCGGGGTTCCTGCGAATGCCTGCAGTGGGCAGGAGTGTATTACGACCAGCTGGCCGCCTGCGGCCGAGGCAAGGAGCTTCACTTCCTCTCCAAGTACGGCTTCAGCGCCGCGTACGCCGCCACCGAGCCCATCGCCGGCCTGCCGCACAAGGTGTGCAACGACTATTTCAAAAACCTGAAGAACAACTCCTGCGTCAACGTTGACCTGTTGGCGACGAGCACAGCTGATGATAACCTCCACCCGGCGAACAATTTCCCAGCCGACCCTCTGGCCGCTTCCCAGTGGTGCTATGTGTCGAACGATTGCGACACCCTGAACGGTGGCGATTACGCCACCAACATCATGGGATTCCAGCTGGGCGGGTGGAACAACCTCGCCAGCACGAGCAACCTGTCCTGGAAGATCTGCGATCCAGTCGCGGACGCGGGCGTCATGATGAAGTTCAAGACGGTTGCGGAGCTGAACGCGATCGCCGAGGAGAGCGACATCAGCATTTCTCGCACGCTGCGGTTGGCCTACCCCGTCGTGCAGATCACTTGGGCCGAGGCCATGTACATGATGGAGGGCATCAACGCTGCTTGGGACGGCGTCGCCACCTTGACCGATCTGGTCGACGGGCTGACGGCTCCGCCCAGCTCCCCCGCCAGGCTCATGGAGGTGCACACGCAGCTCGGCGACATCGTCAAGTCCGGGCAGGGCTACATCCTCGACACCCCGGGGCACGGGGACAACTTCCACGTGATTAGGGGCCGCGAGGTCTACACCGTGACAAGGATCGCGCTGGGCGACATGGCGTACCTCGGCGGCCACTTCTACCTGGAGTTCGAGCTGAACTGCCTCATGGGCTGCGTCACGTCCCGCGTGGAGGCTCCACCTCCCAGACCAGATTCATACCCATCTCGGAGTCGTGCCCTGGGACCTCGAGGACCTCTGGAGGAGTGGCGTGGGTGTGGATATGTGCTCGCCCCTGCGGGCGGGAAAGTACAGTCAGCCCGCACAGTAAGGATGAGCAACTTTCCAAGGTCCCCCTCGCATCCTTCCCCTTCGGCCCATCCTTGGCCCCTTTCGCTGGCCGCGCCCCGCCCGCAAAGTGTCGACGTGGCCTTCCAAGGCCCTTGCATCCTTATCGTGCGCCCTTACTGTACGGGGGTCGACTGCAGCCGCGCCCAGCTCTCCCCGTGGATCCCGAGGGTGTCCGCAGAGTTCCGTTGGTGTTCGGCTGCTTCGAAGGGCGGCTGCGTCGGTCGGCTCGGCTCGGTCCGTTGTCGCTGCGCCGCCGCGTCCGTCGGTCTTCGGTCCAGCTGTCGCTTCGGTGGGCCTTCGTCCGCGGACGGCACTTGTGCACCGTACCACGTTGGCGTCTCCCGAGGCGTTGTCGATCTTCGACCCAGGAATGGTGTATATATCAGGAGGGCAAGAAACACACAGACACAATTAATCGTCGACTCCCAGGGAAATATGGGAAAATATGGGAAGTGGGGGGGAAGACGAACACCCAGAAAATATGGGAAAATATGGGGAATCCAGTTATTTGTGTCTATTGATTTGTGTGTCCCAGGGCCCCTTTAATATACCGTGCATCGTTTATCGGCCCTCAGGGCCAACACACTATACACAGGACGGCGTGGGAGCGAGGCCCGAAGGGAGTTCAAACATGGTACGGTGCATCAGCGCCGTTCTCGTACTTCGGCTCTGCTGCCGCCGTGGACGCCCATGGATCCAGTGCACGAGTTCGACGGCTGCGGATTTGGATGTTCCCTGAGATCCGACGTCGCGATGAAGTGGCAGCATAGCGAAATATCTCGACTCGGATCCCATGCCCAATCTTCTGCGGCACTATTTTAGCCAGATCGATCTGTGATGGTCCCGTGGCCCGAAACCAGGCGGAAACGCCCGGTGTGAAAACATTGCAATGCAGTGGGGGCTTGGACAGAATTTCGAGGAGAGTCCAGCTGTGGTGGCGAGAGTTCTCCATGACGAGCGGGGGCATCGCACCATCTTCCTCCGAAGAGCTGCTGTCGGCGCAAGCGCCAGGTGTGAAAAGATTGCAACGCCCGGATCTCAGGGTCTTCGGGCGGTGCGGAGGCCCTGGACCTGGAGTCGCAGTGAGTGGGTCTTCGTCCCAGCGCGCGATCAGCCCCGCGGCTCTCTCGGCGCGGGGCGGGCTGATCGGGGCGGACCTCAAGCAGCTTCTGCCGCCCTTTCGTTTGTCCTTTCTTTTCACCCTCCATCTGGAAAAAAGGGCGGGCGTCCGCGAGTCAAGGGCGGCCGCGAGGGCGCGAGGTTGTTCGTGGTTCGCGGTTCGCATTTCGCGATTCTTCATTCTCATCCTTTTCGTCTTCATCTTCCCTTCCCTGGGGGGGCGGTGCGAGAGACAAAATCATTCGTGCTTTGCGCTTCGTGCTGCGCGAACATGCCCTCGTCAATCAAGGTCCCCCCCTGCTGTCGAAGAAGAAAAGCGGTATGAACAGAAACGTTCGGAGTTCCGCGCGGATGTCTTGGATCTTGGATTTGCAGCGGACTCCAGCGCCGAAAGTTTATGTCGGAGGTTGGGGGGTGAGATCGAAGTGGAACGGAGAACCCCCCACCGGGAATCGGTTTCGGTTTCGTGTTCGTGCGTGCCGTGCGTGCGGGCGAGGCGAAGCTGCGTGGGCGGGCGAGAGGAAAGTCTCCTGTGGATGAGGCGCGGCCAGACCAAATGATTCTCTCTCCGGCAAGCGGTGGCCCGCGGTGTCCCGCCGGTGTCCCGCTTGAGGCTGGGCCCCGGCCAGAGTAAATGATTCTCCCTCCGGCAAGCGGTGGCCCATTGTGTCCCGCCGGTGTCCCGCCGGTGTCCCGCCGGTGTCCTGCCGGTGTCCCGGTATCCCGCTGGTGCGAAAACGATAGCGAGACCGATGACGAAATCGATTGTGAGATCGATAGTGAGATCGATAGTGGGACCGATAGTGAGATCGATCGTGAGATCGATAGTGAGATCGATAGTGAGATGAATAGTGATATCGATTGTGAGATCGAGTGATATCGATAGGGAGATCGTTAGTGGGATCGATAGCGAGATCCAGCGTGAGATCGACAGTGCGAGCGGCAACGCAACAATCACCACTGTTGCACATTGCTGGCCCCCCTCCCCCCCAACCTCCTTATCACCCGCAGGGTGGTCGTATAGGTATATCCAGTTTTTTGTGATTCCGATTAATGCCCCCCTTCGGAGGCTGCACAGTCGCCTCTGGGTGCCCGAGAGGGTGAGAAGCTCAACTTATGAGAAATCGTGAGGCGTTTGAAAGAGTCAGGCCTGTTGGAGGGATTATTGGGGAGGAGGCATTTTGTGGCCTCTTGGAGGCATGTTTTGACGCCATGTTGGTCCAACTGGAGTTACCTCGTGCCATCTTGGAGGCCATCCTTGGGGTAGCCGGGGCTGTCTTGGAGCAATCTTGGGTCCCAACGGACCCTCTGACACCTCCGCCTTCCCCCCCCTCCAGACCCATGGGAAGGTCCCATGATGGAGCAGGTCAGCTCCTCCAACCATCCCTCGGTCACTGCAGCTGCGTGAATGGTCCCCGTCTTGGCCTCGGCAAGGCAAGGCACGGCAAGGCTGTCTCCAAGGCAGCCGCCGAGATGGCACGCTATGGTCCAAGATGGTCCAAACTTGATTCCACGAGGCATCCAAGAGACATCCAGACCGCCACCAGGCGGCCCGAGGCAGCCATGGAGCCTTCCCAGGATGGCTTCAAGAGCTTAAAAGCTTGAGAAGCCTGAGGTGATTCAACGGTTTTGGCCTCTCCGCCTTCCAGCTTCCGACAGGTTAAGGCTACTGCCCGAAGATCGACAACGAGAGGTCCAGAAAGGCTCAGGAAATATTCAAGACGAGCTCGGATGTCCACACGAAGACGCCACCAGCGCCCCAATAGGACTTCGAGAGGGATTTAGGAGAGCTAGATTTTGAAAATGCCCCCAGCATCAGAACACCACTTGTACTTGACGCCACGCTTTTCCCAAGACGACCCCAGTATGACTCCTGACATTGCATGCGGTCTCAGCAATGGAAACTCACTTGAAGAACTTATCTTTTGTTGTGTGCGTGTGTGCTTAAGACACGTTCGTGCATGCACACTGCCATTTGATGCTCTGATCTTTTACTAGGGCGCCCTCAGTCATAGCAGACAGTTCCAAACTCATCTTCATTGTGCTGTAAAGTGGTTGATAAGTCTTGATATACCTTACCCTGCCTTACGACACTGGCCGCCTGGACGTCGAGGACTAGGAGGTTTCTGATTGATATTGGTAGCGGAGCCTACCAATCCTCGGTGGGCTGTATCTGTATTCCTGGACTGCGCCCTCGGCGACGAGATGGGGCCGCCTGCGAGAGGCGGAGGAACCAAAGGGACTGGAAGACGACGACAGCTCGGAGGCCGAGGAGAAGGTCCGACTACAGCGAATGGAGAAGCCGATGGAGTTCGAATTCCGAGTGGAGACGACGACGCTGAGGTTGATCCACACGAAGTCTCTTGGGAGGACGTTGAGACGCCGCGGCCGCCGCCGGACCTCAAGGAGGGAGGCCTCGACAGTGCACTGTCCAAGACGGCGCCGCAGATCGAAGGCTTGACCGAGAACTTCAGGAGACGCGTGGAGGCATTCCAACGCCAGTGCTTCTTGGCACCGTATGCCTGGTGGAAGGAGCTTACTTGCTGTTTCACGACTGCAGGAGAGGAGTGGGATCTAGCCGAGATGGTCGACTTGGATCGCTGGGAATATGACTTACTTTTTAATGCTATCCGCGAACTGTTCGATGCCAACTACAAATTCGACATGGAGATTGTGGATATGCCCGAGAGATTCAGCAACTTCTGCTGCAAGGCTTTACGAGAAAATAATGAGACGATGCAAGAGCACCTCGTCCGACACCAATTTGATATCAAGGCGCTCAGCGAGGTTGATTTCTAGTCGTCCAGTCAAGTGCTTGGCTGGCATCTCTTGGCAATACCTGCAATGCCGCAGTGGACTCGCGTTAACATCAAGACGCTCTGGAAGAAAGAGCTGTCACCTGCGGGAACATCAGGAACGCTCTACGCGATATCTTCGGCCCCGAGCCGACGGCGAAAGCCGGACATCTGCAGCGGAACAAATGGGATTCGACGGGCACGAATGCGAGGGGCGTCGTGTAGTGGACAGCATCTTGGGACGAATAGGACACGTACGAGGAGGAGACAGTCTTCTTCATGGGTGACGAAGGTGATTGCGTAGATGAAGAAGAAGTGCATTCGGAGAAGACGGACAGTACTATGCGGGGTACGAGGGCGACGACACTATGGCTTCGGCGACGACGCTCGCGAAATTGAGGTTGCTGGAGGACCCGCCGGCAACTGCGACATGACCGAAGAGGCCCTCGCCGTGTGCACCGAGTCAAGACGACGTATGCGAGATTTGTCGAAGGGCAGAGGTTTCTATCCTTTTTATGGCCGTCATTGCCGAGACGGACGTGCCGAGTGCACCGACGCGAGCGACGCTGAGAGCACCCATGGCCAAAGGAGGCCGCAATGGTGGAAATTCCGAAGGCAAAGGCAAATGACGAGGCGGCGGGAAAAAGGCAAGGGCGGCAAAGGGGCGCCGCGAGCAGCAGCGGCAGCAGCGTGACCAGCCCCGCGCTTTGCTGCGTCGCGCCTCGCCGCGCCTCGGTTTGCTTTGGGGTCAGCCTTTTCGCCCGGGGGGGCGCTGGCAGCGGGGTCGACGGCAAGTGGGGCTACTCAGCGGCATGGGCCGCGTTTCAAACCATATCGGCATGGCTCCAGAGTCGTGTCGACGCTGAGGATTCTCTTATGGTAGTGGAGGGTGCCAGCCAGCCCCAGAACGTCGAGATTGAGGGCGCGAGTGAGGGGAAGGCCAGTGACGGCGTCGAGTTGGCAATGTTCTTCGAGGCTGGCACTGCGATCGAGGACGTTGGCTGTGCGTTCCCCGTCATGGGAGATGCTAGCTGGCAGAAGTGGCTGCAGATCTTGCGCGAGGAAGGCGTGGCGGATCACGTCGAGTTAGCGAAGTGCCATCGAGTATTCAAGTTTGTTCCAGATTGTGTGCTGCATGCGACGCGTGTGGTGGAATTTCCGGTGATTTCTGTGCAGTACCCGAGAAGCTTAAGTGTTTGCGTTTTCCTGGAAAGACGCCATTTCGTGGCTTTTTACCCCGGCGGGAACCTGCGTGGGCACAGCGCTGGTCGCATCTGCGCATGGGGTCGTTCGGCGCGCCGCTGCGCCCCGGGCAAAGTGCGCGCGAGTTTCGGCCGGCGCGTGGATGTGGAGGTGCTTTCTGTTGAGATCGGGCTTTACTCTGCGAGGCATTGCGTGAAATGTCGAGGAGCACCCGGGACCAGCGCAGACCAGATCATCTTATCTTCGCTCGCCTTCCTGTCATGCGCATCCAAGCCGATGCCGACGCTCTCTATGTGGTGGCCAACGCAGCATCAACAATGATGGAGGGCGATATGCTGACAAGCTCCAGCGATCGCCACTTCCTGAGGAAGATGAGGCAGTGTTTCGACGTTGCTGGGTTGTTGCCGCGCTGAGGTTGCAACCTGCGCTAGGAGCATGAATTTTGGGCATTCTTATTCGGCGATCAGGTTTCGCCCGACGTCGAGAGAGATCGCCGCGCAGTTTGATCTGGTTTGCGACTGTACCTGGTCGCGCTATTCTGGCAGCGAGTTCCCCCCGATGCGCTGCGAGCCTAAGCTGGCGGATTCGCTGGTCAAGATCGCGCTCGGCGACTGCGCCCGAGCGCGCGCGGCGGCGGCGGGTTCATCTGAGGGGGCGCCGAAGGGGGGCGCCCATCAGATCGAGTGCCGAGAGCTCTACAACCAACTGAAGATCCAGTTCGATTCTGGGCGGTCAGCTCAAAGGCAGTGCGTTGCGGCCGGCGCAGTGCGCGCCCGTCGCCGGTCGTTCGCATGGGCAGCTCTGGCCAGAGCATCCGGATGAGCGAATTGCCCGCGAGCCTGTTCGTAATTTCACGAGGATGAACGAATTTGCTCGCAGGCTTTCTCAATGTGGTAGCGCAGTAACTTGTCGCGATAATCGTTCCCGTCCACCTCCCGAAGTTATGGGCGCCGATGATCTCCATGGCCCTGTCGCTGCAGGATTGGGGCCCGAGGAGGGAGCTGCTGTCGCGCCTCCTGGAGACGGAGCACCCGGTGACGTGGAGATCCCAGCGGCAGACGACGACGGCGTGCAAGCAGCTGGAGAGAGCGAGGCACGATCCGACCGCTACCGACAGCGGGGATCTCGAGACCAGGAGGACCCCGCCGCGAACGACGACGGCCAAGAAGAGACGGCGACACAATCGCGAACACCTGCGCCGCCACCGATGACGAGCGCGCGCGACGCGACGAGCGCGACCGCGGCGGGACAGCCGCCTTGGGCCAGCTGGCTTCGCCGCGACCTGGAGCAGAAGAAGTGCGCGTGAAATCGAGTGGGTCCTTGGGGCGCGGCGCCTGTGGAAGCGCGTTCTTGACAGACTGCCGGCAGGCCATTCTCGACCGGTTCATTGCAGCTCGGAGGTTGGGCGGACTGCCACCAGATAAGAAGATTAATTTTGAGAGCCTCGAGCCGAATGCCGCGCCCGCGGCGCGCCCTGATGATCGAAGAGCTGCTGCCGCTGGAGGAGCGCGGCGAAGAGTGTGAATATACATCGATTCGGCATCGCGCCGCGCGGAGACGACGCGTTGGACATCGCCTGGGCGCGAGGGGCGCGAGCTGTTCAGCAAAGCCGAGGGCGAGGCACTTCCGCCTTGGATCGGTAATCGCACGTGGGAACGAGTGCGCGCGGGCGCCGCCGACCCCGACGAGTTCGTGCCCATGAGATACTTACTCGCGTGGAAAGCAGGAAACAGACGGGCACAAGGCCGACGCGCGGGTCATTCTGCAGGGCCTCAAGCACGTAGACGTGGGCATGAATTTGCTTCCCAGTTCTGCGTTGCGCGAAAGTGGCAGGTGTCCTCGGCGAATGTCAAGTCAGCTGTATTGCGGAGCGGGGGCGTCGACTGCCGAGTTTACGGAGTGCCCGGCGCAGATGTGAGAAGGGATTGGGAAGGGTGTTTTTTTTTCCAGTCTGGCGGGACTTTGCTGGCGAGGAAGCCAGCCTTCGGAGATGTTCGAGCGCCGAAAGAATGGTGGGCGATGGCCGACAGCGCTTTGGCATATCGGCACTTTGTTTCACGCCCTCTGGACAACTGCGTGTGCATGTCGACATGCTTGGCCACGGACCAGGGAAGTGACTGCGACGCCTTCATGCACAACTCTCAGTGGCTGATAGTTGATGCAGTCTCTGGACTCGCGTGGACGACTTGATCGGAGGTGGTGAAGGCATCGCGTCTCAGCGAGGCGTCGAGCCATGCGAGGGCGAGGCTTCCGTTTCAGCAGTTGGAGCGCTGGTAAGGATTTCGTGTTATGCGGATGCCATGCCACCCCGAGTCCGCCGTTAAACGCGGGCGACCTTTCGATGAAGGAGTACATCCACAAGGCCCATCACGATCGACATATCAATGAGGTATGCGCCCATGGAGGCGCGCGTGCCTGCCGGCCATCGAACGCTGCGATCTTGCTCTCGAGCGCTACAGCGACCAGCTGCCCAGAGAGTGGTCTTTCTCTCGGCGAGCGTTTCTTTTGGCCAGGATGCAGGCGGTCATCCCGATATTCAGGACATGCTCTACGCGAACAAGACTTTGCGATTTGGTTGGCAGCATGCCAGTTCGAACCTTCATTTCGAGGGCGTTGGCCCGACCATTCGGTGTCGTCTTGAAGTCTACTCGGATGTTTCGTGGACTACTCGGCCATGCATGAGCTCGCAGCGCGGCTGCCTGATCTTTCTGCCAGTGAGATGTCTATCATCGAGGGCTGCGCTCTGGAGCTTGTAATTTTCGATTGGGCTTCGCGTAGGTTGGGCGACTGGCTCGGGGCAGCCTCCCTTCTGAGGCTCAGGCAGCAGCTGGCGCCGTGGGCGCGCTCGAGTGGGCCAGAGTTTTCTTTCGTGGGCTGTATGGTTGACTCTGCGCAAGCTATCGTGGGCGAGGCTACCAGGCGCCAGTTGGGGGGGGTCTGTGATAGCGGTCGATTCGAAGTTCGTGCGACGCCAGCTTGTCTCTCAGCGAAGGAGTGGGGATTCAAGGAGCGACGCGCGGCGCTGTAGGTGAATGTAACCACGCAGCGTGCGAAGGCCCTTTTCGGCGTATTTCGCTGGCCGGACGCCCTGCAGCAGCTGGCCGACGGCCTGGCCGGGGTTGCGGCCCGTCAGGCTTTCGTTGGGACCATCCTGCGCGGCTGCCGCGCGATCGAGTTTGACCCGACGTGCGCTGCGGGGATGAAGCTCAGCGCCAAGACCAATCGCGACGCCGAGATGGGGCTCGACCGCGTTGTTGGCTTTGCTGTCGACGGCGCGAACGCTGCAGAGGAGGAGGGGGAATGACGCTCAGATGGAGTGCGCGCTCGAGGGATGTGATAAAACGGTTGATGATGGTCGCGGTTCTTCGGGCCACCCATTCAAGTGCCGCGGTCGCCGCCGTCGCTGCGCCGACAGGGCGTCCAACCGCCTGCAGAGGAAAGCGGCATCCCGGGCCGTAGCTACGATGACTGCGGCATCTCAGGTTGGGGGTTCGATGGCGATGGATCACATTAGCGGTGGTGCGGCGATGTGAGACAACGACGGCCACCACCATTATTATGACTACTACGACCAATACCGCGACGAGCAGGAGACGGAGTTCGCGGGCCAACTCGGTATCTTCTCTTACTTAGTGGCGGCTTTCTTGATCGTGGCGGCGCTGATCTGGTTTAGTTGCAGCTCGGTTGCGCCCCGGGCGTTGCCCGCGCCAGCTGTGGCCGACCGTGTGTCGTCGGCCAAGACCGCGGCTGCGCCTGCGGGGGCGCGCGCGGACAGTCCGCGCGGAGTTTCACCAGAGAAGGAAGGAGCAGGTTCTCACTCGCCGCCGACGCCGTTCGCAAAACCCAATGCCACTGCCGGAGCTGCGCCCAAAGTTGCGGGGCAGAAGGTCTGCCAATGCGCGGTCCAGGGCCGCGTCCTCAGGCCAGGCCGCAACGCCGTCAGTTGTTGGCTCACGTGATTGACCTGCCGGATTCCTTGCACCTGGCTGCTGAGTGGCCAGGGCCCGCGCGATGCTCTTCTGCGCCGTCGTGTTCTGGACGTGTGGAACGCCGTGCAGCGGAGTCGCCGTAGCTGAGCTTACGCTGGCACTCGTCTCAGTTTTCAGGGCTGCTTTCATTTTCCAAGCAGTCTCGGCAGGTCCAAGTTTTTGTTGGCATAGTCTGCGATAGCACGGCGTCTTTTGCCGAGTCAATGATCAAGTGTTGAAGCTACTGTGATGGCGGGTTTTCTTTTGGCTGTCATGCTCATGTCGAGTTTTCGATGTGCACCACCAGCTTTCTTCGCACAGTATGGGGCCGATGACGTTGCATGCAGTCTCAGCAATGGAGAGGTACTGGCAGAGCTTCTATTTTGTTGTGTGGGCTTCAGACACGTCCGTGCATACCCGCTGCCACTGGAAGCTCTGATCTTTCCTCAGGGCGCCTTGACTCGTAGAAGGCAGTTGCGAACTCATTATCGCCGCGTTGTGAAAAACTAACAGATCTGTCTCGGTATACCTTATCCTGTCTTATGGCACCGACCGCCTGGACTTCCGTTCTAGGAGGTCTCAGATCGAGAACTCCTCAGGCTCCAACAAGCGCCAACAAAACTCCACGACAGCTCCGAAATAACCCAAACAGAGCCACACTAGGGCCTGAGGAACACCCCAAATAGCCCCACACGAGCCCCACGGGGCCCCCTCAAGCCTTGAATCCAATGCCCCGTCCAAGAAGGAGTTGAGTCTGTGCCTCGTCCTTCTCTCTGCGGTTGACCAGGGCGGCCGCCGCGCCAGATTATAAGCCACACTCAGCCCACAGGCGTGGGGTGAAGTGCTGCGAATTGGGGCGCGGGGGAGGGTTCGACCCTTCCGAAGGGTCTTGGAAGAGTTGGAGCCACTTGCGCCCAGTGGTGTGCCGAACGATGTCTTGGGAACATTTTTTGACACCAACCAGTGCCTGTTCGAATTGGGCTGGGGCCTGTGGGCGGCCTGTGAGGAATCGTGGGGCTGCCTTGGGCGGACTTCGGGCTGTCCGCGAGGTTTTGGGCACCGTCTCGGGGGCCTGTTTTCTGTCCTCTCCGGGCGGCCTCGGGCCGATTTCGGGCGGTTCTGGATGGTTTCAGGGGGCGTTTCAGAGCGGCCACGGGGGCGTCTCAGGGCCGCAAAGAAGGAACCATTCGGACGTTGCCTGTTTGGCCAAAGATCCCCCCAGGGGGTTCGTCTCGCGCGCGGGGCCCAGGTGGCAGAAAGAGCGAGGTACTGCTACCGCTGGCTGAGTTTTCGCTTGTATGGGCCTCCTGGAAGGCTCTCGTCGCCAGGATTTGTCTGGAGATCTTGGCCAGAGCGCGCCTCAGGAGAGGTCCACGGAATAGCGGCATCGATGCGAGTGATGGCGTTCTGGTGGGGCGAATTGCCATCGAGGGATGGTTGCCAGGGAGGGGCGAAGAAAAGGGGACGGACGTAGCACGCCCTACTTGGATGTCCCGAGAGAGGCCCCAAAGCGGCCAAGACGGCTTAGGATTTCGCGAAGACGGCCCAAGGGAGGTCCAGGAGGGTTCCAAGACGGGCCAAGAGTGCTCCGAGCGAGCCCAAGACCAGCCAAGCGCGTTCGAAGATAGTCTTAGGTGACTTCAAGTCGGTCCAGGAGGACCCAAGACGGCCTGAAAGGCCCTGACGAGGACCCTCCAGAGGGCCTCAGGAGGCCAAACTTACATAGATGTTCCGAAGGTTATGGCAGATTCTGTAGGTTCTCGCCTTTTTCGGGCTTCCGACGGCCCAAGACGGCCCAATAGGCTCGGCAGGTTGCTCGGGAAGCCTTTTTCACACGAGTCGGTGACGTTAGAAGCTGCCAAACGCCTCGGGTCCGAAGAACGATCAGTGGCGCAGAAAGCTCTTAACGCCAAGGCTCCCAAGAGCGAGCGGTGACGCAACCTGCTCTTAACGCCATGGTTCCAAAGAGCGAGATGGGACGTAAGCAGCGCTCAGTTCCAAGGCTCCTGAGAGTGAACGCCGATGTAAACATGTTTTCACATCAAGCCTCCCAAGAACGAACGGTTACGTAATCAGCTCTGCACGCCAAGGCTCCCAGGAGCAAACGGTGCCAGGAGCCCTCCCGGGTAAGTTCCTGAAGCGCTCTTTCAGTTCTCGTGCTGGCCTGGGTCTGACATGCAGGATGGTCACCTGATGTCTCACGCGCTCTTGACCCGTTGGACCAGATCATCGTGCTTAGATGATGATTTGCACGTTCATAATGGTTCAACACTGCCCAAGTCCGTTCCCCTTACTTGTGGCCCATGCCCTGCCTGTCTAGAGTATCGTGGGGGTCATGGCTGAACGGACTGCTTGCCGTGCTTTCATTCGTTTTTGGCTGAAGCTGACCCTTTGGATACTGCACATCTCGGTTTAGCACTGCACATCTCGGTTTAGCACTGCGCGTGCTGTCAAAGCTTTTGAGTCAAACCCACGACCATGTATTCCAAGTTGGCATCTGTGCTGGCCTGCCTTGCGTTCGCGCGGGCCCTCGACACCAAGAGGCGGGGTTCCTGCGAATGCCTGCAGTGGGCAGGTGTGTATTACGACCAGCTGGCCGCCTGCGGCCGAGGCAAGGAGCTTCACTTCCTCTCCAAGTACGGCTTCAGCGCCGCGTACGCCGCCACCGAGCCCATCGCCGGCCTGCCGCACAAGGTGTGCAACGACTATTTCAAAAACCTGAAGAACAACTCCTGCGTCAACGTTGACCTGTTGGCGACGAGCACAGCTGATGATAACCTCCACCCGGCGAACAATTTCCCAGCTGACCCTCTGGCCGCTTCCCAGTGGTGCTACGTGTCGAACGATTGCGACACCCTGAACGGTGGCGATTACGCCACCAACATCATGGGCTTCCAGCTGGGCGGGTGGAACAACCTCGCCAGCACGAGCAACCTGTCCTGGAAGATCTGCGATCCGGTCGCGGACGCGGGCGTCATGATGAAGTTCAAGACGGTTGCGGAGTTGAACGCGATCGCCGAGGAAAGCGACATCAGCATTTCTCGCACGCTGCGGTTGGCCTACCCCGTCGTGCAGATCACTTGGGCCGAGGCCATGTACATGATGGAGGGCATCAACGCTGCTTGGGACGGCGTCGCCACCTTGACCGATCTGGTCGACGGGCTGACGGCTCCGCCCAGCTCCCCCACCAGGCTCATGGAGGTGCACACGCAGTTCGGCGACATCGTCAAGTCCGGGCAGGGCTACATCCTCGACACCCCGGGGCACGGGGACAATTTCCACGTGATCAGGGGCCGCGAGGTTTACACCGTGACAAGGATCGCGCTGGGCGACATGGCGTACCTCGGCGGCCACTTCTACCTGGAGTTCGAGCTGAACTGCCTCATGGGCTGTCGGAGGGCGCCAACTGTATACCTGCACCGATCCTGGCCTGGCGGATCCTGAGCTCAGGATCGGTGCGTATGCCTCCCTGGCCCGACCAGGAGGTCGCATGCACCGACCGACCCGCCCAGGACGGGCCTGGCCAGGGATCGGCGCATGGGATACAGCTGGCGTCCCCCCTCAGGCTGCGTCACGTCCCGCGTGGAGGCCCTCGACCTGGAGTCGCAGTGAGCGGGCGCCGCGGCGACGAGGGCGGCCTGTCGGCTCGGAGCCTCGGGGCAGCCTGCTGGCTGTTTCTTCGTTTCCTCCGCCTCCCGGCCTCGCGAGCGGCGACCATATTCGCAGCCGTGCCCTCGCGATCTGTGCACCGAGGCAGCGATCCCACGGGTGCGCGGCGCCGTAGACGTGCGCTTCGCGCGGGGCGTGCGCGCAGAGCCGCCCCGTATCCGTGGGCTGTCGTGGCTGGAGAGCCCGGACCCGAAGGCCGTGCACACGGGTATGTTTCCCGCCCACGATCCCCCTCCCAGTCTTCTCCCTCGGCAGCTCCTCTTCGTTTCTCCTTTCCCGTGTCGGCCTTGAGACTGAGGGTGGCCAGTCCCTTCCCCCTCGTCGTTCGTCGTTCCCAGGCCTCCGTCCCCCATCCACGCTTCCCTTCCCTCCGCCTCATCTCCCGTCCTCCCGCTCCTACTCCTTCTCCCTCACCAATTCCATTACACTTCCACCTTCTTTCCTGCTCCTCGTTTTTTCCTGTACATCGCCGTCGTCGTCGTCGTCGTCGTCGTCGTCGGCGCCCTCCCCTCTCCCCACTTCATCTTGTTCCTCCGCATCTTCGTTTCCCTTCTCCCCCTCCACCTCCACTCCCCTCCTCCCTCCCCCTCCTGAGGCCCTCCTGCTTCTACTCCTTTTCCTCTCAATCTTTTCCTCCTCCCCCCCTCCTCCTCCTCCTCCTCCTCTTCCTCTCCCTCCTCCTCCTCCTCCTCCTCCTCGTCCTCCTCCTCCTCTTCCTCCTCCTCCTCCTCCTCCTCCTCCTCCTCCTCCTCCTCCTCCTCCCCCTCCTTCTGATTTTGCAAGGCTGGGAGTTGTACTTTTGCACGGTATGCCGACTCGTGTGCAGTCCCAAGTATGGTGCAGGCCATGTATCAAAAATGCCCTGCCCTGCCGCTGGGGCACATCCACATCCACAGCCTTGGATCCGCTTTCGTGCCCTGGGGCCCCCATGGGAGTGGTGAATGTGAATGCCCGCCAGCCCCTGCGGCGGAGAAGCATTGATGCCTGCCGCCTCCCAGGGAGCCAAGGTAGGACATCCAGCATATGTGGACGTGGCGGTGCAGCAGGAGGGTCAAGGGACACTTCGCTGGCCCTGGCGCTGGCGCTGCGGCTGGCAACGGCCCTCCCTCGAGGTTTCATTTTCACGGAGGGAAGTGCCCCATTGGAAGACAGCCGCTCGCAAATCCCGAAACGTGCCAGATCATCATTTTTTGGACTTCGACGCTGTGAATCAACGTTGCTGTTGCGTCGCGACGATCCTGAATCGTGCCCGAACACATGTCCTGAAGCATCGCGAGTCACCGTACGTGTTGCGCCCTGACAGTCCTACATCGTGCCCGACTATGATTTCTTGGACGTCAGCCATGATAATCCTTCCTGGACACTGTTGTACACTCTTGAGACGAATGTGCGCGGCGCTAAGACGACTGCCACATGTTGGAAACGCACCGCCCTCCATCCTTGGCAAACGTTTAATCGAATGTGCGCGTTGAGATGATGAGGTCCACATTTGAAAACGGCTCGCCCTCCACCCGTGAAACTCTTGCAAACTTCAAAGGTGAATGTGCGCGGCGCCAAGGCGAGAACCACATTTTGCAAGCACCCGCCGTCCATCCGTGATACTGTTGCAAATGATCAGCGTAATGATCATAGTTGGTGATGAGATCTCAGGCGAAACACCTGGCCCGTCCTGCCGACACGTCTCGGGGTGCGACTGGAAAGACTTGCGCTTATTCATTTGAATGTAATTGATGAGGAAGAGGAGGGGGATGAGGAGGGGGGTGGCATCTTGGGAAGGATTGGAGGGTTCTGCGAAGGCCGCTTGCACCGCCCCACACCCGCTCTTTCGCGCCCAGCGCGCAGCGATCGCGCCACCTCTCGCGCGGGCGAGCGCGCGCGTGGCCGCCGGGTGGCCACGCGCCCGCGCCCGACCGCGAGGTCCGCGACCGCGCGCCCGCGCGACCGCGCAGCCGCGCGGGCGGCGCCTTCGCTCGGTTGCGCCCGCGGCCGCGGCTGCGGCCGCGTGGCCCCTTCGACCTGCGCGTGTCGTCCCCGCGGGCGCGCGCGCGCGCGCGCCCGCGCGACATGCGCCGCACGGCGGGCTCGGCCGCGGCGGCCGCCGCGCCGGGCGCGGGCGCGGGCGGGGCGCAGCCCGCGCTGGTTGAGCTGGAGGCGCCGCTGTCCGCGCTGCTGTACATCCTCTGCTCGTTGCTGATGACGAACCAGACGAAGTGCCCGCAGAGGGTCGGTGAAGCAGAAGGCATCTAGGCCTCCCAAATGGGGTCCGGGCAGATGGGATCAGGGGATCGCGCCGCATCGCTGATGCATCGGCGATGCGGCCCGATGTGGGGCCCTGCGTTCTCCACGCCGAGGTTACCGACACATCGCCGATTTCGCTAATGCATCGCCGTTGCACTGGTGATGTATCGGCGATGCGGCGCGACTCTCCGACCCCGTCTATTCGGACGCCATTTGGGAGGCCACTACCAATGATTCAATCCTCACGTGTTGCAGATGATGTTAAACGCGCTATGGCTGCTCGCCTCCGCCATCGTGTAAGCGTCTCTGGCAAAAGTTTCGCAAACGAGCGGTCCTGTGCGCGGTCAAGGCCTCTGATGGGTCCCCTACTGGCTCCTCTGAAGAATCCGCTCAGCTTCTTGGTGATCACTGGGCCTCTGTGTTTGCCCCCTCCGACGTGGACTCCTCCCGCTGGAACGACATCGCCCATCACATCAAGGCCCTCGACGGCCCTCTTAACCAGGAATGGCGTCTGGAGTACCCCTGCTGGGGTGAAATGGTGTTGGGTCGGACCCACAGTACCCCTGGGCCTGATGGTATACCTTACGCTGTTTGGAAGCATCCGAGTGCATCTCGGGTGCTCTACTCTTGCTACCTCTCCCTCTTTGACGGAAACTTCCACTCGCTCCCAGAAGACATGCTGTGCAGTTTGATGGTGTTTCCCCCCAAGGGGACGGACCCTTCCGATATTCCTGGCGAGGCTCTTGTCCGCGAAGCTAGCGCCAATCGCCCGCTAAGCTTGGGGAGCACCGATGGCAAACTGATGGTCGCGGCTTGCATCTTGCCCATCGTTGCGAACACTGCTTCGCTTGTTGGTGCTGAACAGATGAGTGTGACGGGGAGAGATATTTTTGAGAACGTTGTGAAGGCGGAGGCATGGGGGATGAGGAGGTTCATGAGTGTCGAAAAGCACTCAGCATTGCTGCTCACCAGCTTCGCTGATGCCTTCCCGAGTTTAGCGCATTGCTGTTTTTTTTTCGTGTTGTGCGCCATGGGCATCTCTTCTCACCTCATCCAGTGTTGTGCCATGATGTATGCATCCAACACCGCTATCATCACTGTTGGGGGTCAGCGCATCCAGTCCATTCCCATTGAATATGGTGTCAAACAGGGGGGTCCTGCCTCGAATTTCCTCTTTGTGCTGGCAGTTGACCCATTACTTGCCCGGATGAGGCACCAGTTCGCAGCGAGTCTCAGTTGGCCTATGCGGATGACATATGTTTTTCTTGTTTTTTTTGTAATGTACGTACTCACTGATGTTGCCCGCTTCTTTCGGTTCGGCTTTGATGGAGCTCATAGCCATCGCGGACCTTCGCCGGAACTTTAGATGTGCTAAATAGTTTTATGCCGTAGCACTGGCGTTGGCCGTCTTACATATATGCTGGCGACGTTTGGTGTTCCCTTCTGTCACCTGCAGGCTGCTTTGTGAGCACCTGCAAGGATTCACTTTCACCGAGGGAAGTGCTCCGTTGGAGACGACCATTGGAAGAACCTGAAGCGTGCCAGAGCACTATTTTTGAGATTTCGGCGCCACGAATCAACATGACTGTTGCGTACTGACGATCCTGGATCGTGAGCGAACACCGTTCCTGGGACTTCAGCACCGCGAGTCGACGTAATTATGGTGCCCAAACAAGCCTGAATCGTTCCAAGGCGCCGTTTCTGGCGCGCCAACCATGAGGTTCCCAGACACTCTTGCAATATCGCGAAGGCCTTGCGGCCGGTGCCGCCGACCCTGGAGGGCGACCCATGCGTTCTCTAATGTGGCGGGGGGGGCCTCTTGGGGCTTCCTGGGGGCCTCTTGGGGGTCTCGTGGTGGCCTCTTGGGGGCATCTTGGGGCTTCCTGGGAGCCTCTGTCGCCGAGGGCTCGTCGGGCCCCCCGTCTGGGCTCCTGTTGGAGCCGTTTAGGGAGCCTCTGGGGCCATCTTGGAGGCATCTTGGGCGGTCTTGATGCTCTCTTGGGTCATTGTGGGGTTCTCTTGAGGCCTCTTGGGCTATCTTGGGGCAATCTTGGGGGCATCTGGGGCCGTCTTGGAGCGTCAGCAAGTTGAAACGGCGAGAACGCCAAAATCTGTCAAAAACTTTCAGGTAATCATTGATTTGTCCCTCTTCGTGCCCTCTTGGGAGTGCTCTTGGAGACTTCTTGGAGCGTCTTGGCAATCTCTTGGGCCGTCTGGAGCCTACTTTGGCGTCTTCGACCGATGGTTCGGCGATTCGGGGCCCTCTGGAGCCGCCTTGGAAGCCTCTTGGGGCACTCTTGGCCAGTCTGGGGGCTTCTCTAGGTCCTGGGACATCCCGGGGAGGAGGCGTATCTGCCCCCCCCCCTTCCCCGGGGACCCCCCTCGGGACCCCCCCCGCCCCCGGCGGGGAAGGGATCAAAGGGAAGGGGCTCCCCTTCGACTCAGCTACGACGTTGTTCAATTTCGCTTTGCCTTCGACTCAGCTACGACGTTGCTCGATTTCGCTTTGGTTTCGCTTTGGCTGGCGCGCCTGAGGGGAGGGCGACGACGACGACGACGACGACGAACGGAAGAGCATCGACGACGACGACGGCGACGACGACGGCGACGACGACGACGACGACGACGACGACGACGGCGGCGACGACGACGACGACGACGACGTTCACGACGAACGGAAAAGCATCTTCCACACGCCGACAGTGTCTGCGGATTTGACATCGAATTTGCGCGACGTTAAGCCGAACGTCACATTTTAAAAGGAGCCGCCCTCCGTCTGTGAGTCTCATGCACATGTTTAATATAATTGTGCGTGTCGCTAAGGCGGGAGCCACTCTAGACAACGGCCCGCCCTCAATCCGTGAAGCTCTCGCAACTTCCTGCAACGAATGTGCGCGGCTGAGGCGAGAGCCACATTTTGGAAGCGGCCCGCCCTTCATGTGTAAACATTCTTGCTAGTTCTTCAGCTTCAGGATCATAGATGGTAATGGGATCTCATGCGAAATGCCGGGCCCGTTTTTTCG